TATGCACTTCCTGCCAGCATCTTACACCCTGCTGTTATGTGCTGGACTGTCTCAGGGGCATCCTTGCACAGTCTGCACCTGGGGTCCTGCCTGGTGTGGTAGACCCCAGCCTCTATTGATCTTGTGCTGAGTGCCTGTTCTTGTGCCGCCATGATTAGTACTTCTGTGCTGTCCTTCAGTCCAGCCTTTTCCAGCCACTGGTAGGATTTCTGGATATCAGCCACTTCTTCTATTTGTCTGTGGTACATGGTTTCCGTTAGCCTGCGGCACCCCAAGGTATTTGTAGCTATCCTGAACATCTGCAATGTGGCCTTCTGGTAGTTCAATCCCCTCGGTTCTGATCATCTTCCCTCTTTTTGATACCATGCGACCACACTTGTCCAGTCCGTGTAGATCCTGGTAGTGTGGATCAGTGAGTCGACGTCTCGCTCATTTCTGGCATACAGCTTGATGTCATCCATGTAGAGGAGGTGACTGATGGTTGTTCCACTTCGGAACCGGTATCCGTAGCCAGTCTTTGTAATGATCTGGCTGAGGGGGTTCAGGCCTATGCAGAACAGCAGCGGGGATAGTGCATGGTATATGCCGCACTTGATGGTGACTTGTGCAATTGGCTTTGAGTTGGCTTCCAAACTTGTTTTCCACAGCCCCATTGAGTTCTTGATGATGGCTATTAGTGTCCTGTTGATCTTGTACATTTCCAAGCATTCCAGTATCCATGTATGTGGCATTGAGTCATAGGCTTTCTTGTAGTCAATCCAGGCGGTGCACAGATTGGTCTGTCTGATCTGGCAGTCTCAAGTCTCAATCAACCAGTAGCTGAAGCTTGGCTCCACTGGTATTACTGCCCATCCATCTGGGCCCTGTCCATATATTGAGCCATGTGCCTACTCATCATAGCCGCTATGATCCCTGACAGGAGCTTCCATGTTGTGCAGAGGCAGGTCATTGGCCGGTAGTTGGATGGGATTGTTCCCTTCTGGGGAACCTTCATGATCAGGACTGTCCGTGCTTTGGTCAACCTTGGGGGGTGGTGATGGCACAATAACACATGCTTTTGGTGTGAGAGACCCGGGTTCAATCCCCCACTGTGACACATCCACCATTGTGTCCCTGAGCAAAACACTTAACCCCTAAGTTGCTCCAAAATGAATAAATGTAATGTAATGTTAACCGTTCTGGGTGGATCCCATCCATCAGCAGTTGGTTCATTTGTGCTGCCAGGCATTCATGGAGTACAGTTAGTTTCTTCAGCCAGTAGGTATGGATCGTGTGATCATGTCATCAGGTATCGACCGCTTGTTGTATTTCTTGGGTAGCTCTTTCCTTGCATCTTCTGTAGTTCTGAGAGCTGACTAACCTCTCTTCTTGTTACCTTGATCTTGGCCTCTAGCCTGCTCCTCTATGGGGGGGGGGGTAATGCTCTTTCTGGCTTGTGGTGTTCATCTTATAGGGGACTGGGGACCCAATCTCTGAGTTCTTCCACTTGCCACAGCATATTTGTTGTACTTTGTCAATCTCTAGTTGTGGCTGTTAGAACACTGAGCTAGGAGTTGTTTCTTTGTCAGTGTTGATGATGGGTTTCGAAGCATCCATATATCCCATAGTCTCTGCATATAACCCCTCTCACTGGGATTGCTTGTATAGTAGCATTGCATCAGATCCATATTTTCTGCTCTGGTCCATGAATGTCTTGTTCCAGTTGTCCATTTGTCATCAGGTTGCCCTGGTTCCCCAGCACCTGACGCGGCCTTTGTTGACCTAGGCGACATCCGAGCCGGAATGGCTCTTGTATTTGCAGTTTGCAATGCTGGTAGCATTAAGGACTTTGCCTAAGGGTCCACCTGGAAAACCCCGCCCTGACCATGAATCGAACCCACGATACATACACACACACACACACGCACACACCTCAGAAAGCTTTACAATTTGTACATCATATGGACTCTCTGTCCTCAGACCCTCTGTTTCTGACGTATAAATTACACAAAAGTTCAATCTGGTGGAAGTCTGGAAACTGCATGTGTGAATGCTGGTCAAACTGTTTATTTAGTGGGACAACATTCTGAGGACAATATTTGACATTCTGCTCTCATAATTAGTTATCTTCTTCTTCAGACAGTGAAAGAATCCTGGAGACAGTTGACACAGATGAGTTTCAGCCTGTTTCTCTGTCACACTGACAAACTGAGGAACACTGCTTCATGTTGAACAGCAGTTAGGACTCATGTTGGATAGAAAATCACTCTGACTGTGTTTCTTCCTCCAGGGTGGACCATGGTGGAGAGCAGAGGTTAAAACCTGGTCTGAGGAAGTGTAAGTGTGGATTCAATCTGACTCATGATGACAAAACAGCACACAGTCAGTTTCTCTTTCAATACAAAGTTGATAGTTGTGGTATTTATTCATTCAAACATTACTGACTAAATGCATCATCATTAAACTTTATAGAAATGAACAACATCAGCACACAAACAAAGAATAAACTTTCAGATGTGTCTGATGATAAACTGCTGCTGTGTTGTGTCTCGTTCTCTCCATCAGATTTCTGTGAACTCACACTGGACACAAACACAGCACACAGAAACCTCAAACTGTCTGACAACAACAGGAAGGTGACGGTGGTGAGAGAGGAGCAGCCATATCCTGATCATCCAGAGAGATTTGACCACTGGGAACAGCTGCTGTGTAAAAATGGTCTGACTGGTCGCTGTTACTGGGAGGTCGAGTGGAGAGGAGGAGTTTTTATATCAATGACTTACAGAGGAATCAAACGGAGAGGAGACCTTAAAGACTGTGTGTTTGGATTAAATGATCAGTCCTGGAGTCTGTTCTGCTTTGATGATGGTTACTCTGTCTGGCACAATTACAGAGAAACAGTCCTCCCTCTCTCCTCCTCCTCCTCTAACAGAGTAGCAGTGTATGTGGACTGTCCTGCTGGCTCTCTGTCCTTCTACAGAGTCTCCTCTGACACACTGATCCACCTCCACACCTTCAACACCACATTCACTGAACCTCTTTATCCTGGGTTCTGGTTCGGGTCTGGTTCCTCAGTGTCTCTGTGTTCTCTGTAGGAGGGAGACAACTTCCAGTCCTGTGGTTTAAATGTTGGCGGTTGACGAGGCTTCACTTTGGTTAACATCTGGCTCACTGATCGTGCTTTTAATGTCAATTTCAATTTTATTTATTTATATAGTGCCAAACAACAACAACAACAGTTATCTCACTTTAACTCATGTGTAAGTTAACATGTTAACAAATTTTACTCTTGCTACTAAGAGTTAGTACATGACACGCAACAGTAGTCCTCATTTTCTGAGCTGCTTTCTGATCTGCTTTTGTCAAGCTTTGTGAGGAACTTGCTGCTGAGCATTTTAGTCCTAATTTATAATTATGAAGAGCAAATAAAAAATAAGATAAAGATGAAGGCCCTTTAAAAAGGCCTATTTCACCATTCCACAAAGGATATAAAAATGCAAGCGCCAAGCACCATAGACAAACCTGAATTCCCCTAAGAGAAAGTTTAAATGACTGCACTAGTGTAATAAGACATTTTATATAATTGAACCCTGGATAAAGTACCTTTTGCTAATACTGCAATCTTTGATATTTGTGCATGCATCCAAGTTATTTCTGAATAACAGGTAAAACAGTAAATTCTCAATAAAGTGGCCCTGAATATTTTTGTATCACAGAGAAATGTTTAAATATTACTAACACTGATGTTAAAATTTCCATTTTTGAAAGAAACAAGAGGTCTTTAAGAGATACAAACACTCATTAGCTGAAAAACATTCACCGCATGGAGGTCCCCTCTTTGGTAGGTAGATACTGCTCAAGGATCCAAGTGCCCTCTGGGCAATTTCTTGAAGACTCCCATCATTGGCCTATGGTAACCCCTCCTAGTATCTTATCATTGGCTCACGGTAACTCTGCCCATCCTCTTATTTTGTATGTGACAGCATGTGGGAAATAACTGGTGAGGGGTTGGGGGCCGTTACTTCTGGTACAACCAGATTATTATATATAGTCGGCTGTTCCAAACTCTTGTCTCCGGCTGATAAAAATAGGTTCCTGTTTCAAAAACGAACTCTGTCTGATAAACCCAGACCGTTTTTAACAACCGGAGTCTGAGTTATAGATAACTCTATTCCATAACTGGTCTACAAGATTACCTGAAGATGCTAATGACAGTTACAACACACAACACGACTCATTGAGAAAACAGAGGGAGGGATGGAAGGAGGTGCGGGGGGTGGAGCACATTCCTCAATTCACCCTGCACAGCCTATGCTACACCAGAAAGAGAGAGGACAGGCCAGAGGAGACACAGACTCACAAGTTTAAGACTAGGCTACAGCTTTTGAGTGATAATGATGGCAAGTTTGTAAGACAAAGCACTAGCAAAGATTTTACAAAGTTTAATTTTGGAACTCTCTCTTATTTTGCTGCATGCTGTTGAAGGTAATTTAAAAATCTGTTTAATTTTAACTCACTGTTATACTATTTTACTGTAATTATTTCATCTTATTCTTTAGTTCTTTAATGATGGTAAGTTTGTCACACAAAGCTTTAGCAAAGATTTTACAAAGTTTAATTTTGGAACTCACTCTTATTTTGCTGCATGCTGTTGAAGGTAATTTATAATGCTGTTTAATTTTTACTCACTGTTATACCATTTTACTGCTTTACTGTAATTATTTCAATTTATTCTTCACTTGTTTAATAATAAAGACTGACTTGATTCCAAATCAATGAAGAAACCTCCTACTGATCCTTTGCTGGCCCCGGAGATTCCTCCTTTACTTATAACTCACTGCTATACTTTTTTGATGATAAATTTATTACCATAAACACCTACCAGTTAATTCATTCAAGTTCATGTTTTATTACTTAATAAAGTCTTTAAATCAATGAAAAACCTCCTCCAATTATCAGTCAAAAACACACAACGGAAGGATGTACGCAACCCTTTTATCAGTTACATACTCATATCCGGTATGGGGGCGGGACCGGAAGTAGCTGTCAAAATTAGTTTGATGGAATGTCATTCAAATTTCTCTCTCGCGCGGAGCAGCGAAAGTTCAAGAGTTCATTTAGTCATCATCCTGGAGTTCAAGGGACCAAAGATTCTGGTCCGTTTTTAATCCCATCAGCTGCACAGCGTTCAGCTTTCAGTCACCTCAGTGTGTAAAAAACGTGTGTGTTGTGGTTCAGCTGGACTGTGGGATCCATCTTGGTCTGGATGGGACGGACGCTCTGCCGTACACTGACCTGATGGACCTGGCTGAAATGGACCTGCTGCTCATCAGCCAGTGAGTTCCCAACATTTATCAGCACAGCAACCAGTGTATTGGAACTAGTTTATAGGCTTATTTTGTATGTTCTTAGCACCACCTAGTGGTGATTACAAAAGCTGCTCTGAAGAGGAAGTAAGCTAATTGTAAATAGTCAGGATGACAGGAAGTGGTGTTTAGGAACTTCCTTTTTTCACATGGGCTCATAGAGGAAACATCACAGTTAACAATCCTTGTAATCCTGTGTCTTTAAGTCCACCAAACGGCTTCATCCATAAGTCATCTTCAATATACAGTGGTATTAACATGTCGATATTATTATTTCTTGTTTTGAGTGTAGTCAAATTATTTATGAATATCGGTAGATGATGTTAGTGTATTGTTGGATTGACATAGTTTCCTTGCCTCTGTCTCCTAGTGCTGCTCTTGGTGGGAACTGTTGGGCTTCTGTAAATAGCATCACAGAGTACGGTCTAGACCTGCTCTTTATGAAAAGCGCTGTGAGATAACTGTTGTGATTTGGCGCTATATAAATAAAATTGAATTGAATTGAATTGAACATACCTACTTTCAGTACCTGGTAACAGTCAGTACTTGTTGTGATAGTATTCCTTCTCTAATAATGTACTAGAGACATTATTTAGTACATACAAGATACTTACATGTTTGTATCTTTGTGTCCTTTTTGCAGTTTTACAAATTACATATTTTCCTTCATTAAATCCTGCCAAACACAACAACCTGCCTGTTCCTTGGAGAATGCAATGCTGGAGAATATAATGTTAAGCTAGCTGTATAGCTGAAAAACACGTTGCCTGCAACAACTTTTAGTGAGGACAGCATAACCAGAGAACACTTTAATATACACACACTCAGCTGTACTAGCAGGTGGACTTTAATGTCCAAGTGTGTTGTTTTCCCTTCTCTGTACAGACTCGACCTGTGTATGAAATGTGCTTTCTAATCAAACTGCTTTGCCTGACATGATGCTGAGAAATCAGACCAACATAAAGGTCAGGGCTGATGTGGACCTGGAAACTCCTCAGTAACTGTTGCCCTCCCTCTCAGCTTCCACCTGGATCACTGTGGAGCTCTGCCCTGGTTCCTGCAGAAGACCAGCTTTAAAGGACGCACCTTCATGACTCACGCCACCAAGGCCATCTACCGCTGGCTGCTGTCCGACTACGTCAAAGTCAGGTAAGACCAGGACCCAGAGTCACATCAGACTCCCATACTACAGGGACCTGGACTCACCAGGACAGGATATGATGTACTGTGTTTAATATTCTTCTGTGTATACCATGTGGAGTATAACCTGCAGTACTTCAGCGTGTATAACCTGCAGTACTTCAGCGTGTATAACCTGCAGTACTTCAGCGTGTATAACCTGCAGTACTTCAGCGTGTATAACCTGCAGTACTTCAGCGTGTATAACCTGCAGTACTTCAGTGTGTATAACCTGCAGTACTTCAGCGTGTATAACCTGCAGTACTTCAGCGTGTATAACCTGCAGTACTTCAGCGTGTATAACCTGCAGTACTTCAGCGTGTATAACCTGCAGTACTTCAGCGTGTATAACCTGCAGTACTTCAGCGTGTATAACCTGCAGTACTTCAGCGTGTATAACCTGCAGTACTTCAGCGTGTATAACCTGCAGTACTTCAGCGTGTATAACCTGCAGTACTTCAGCGTGTATAACCTGCAGTACTTCAGCGTGTATAACCTGCAGTACTTCAGCGTGTATAACCTGCAGTACTTCAGCGTGTATAACCTGCAGTACTTCAGTGTGTATAAGCTGCAGTACTTTAGTGTGATGTGTAGTAAAGCAGTGGCTTGTACTGCGAAGCGAGGTACCTGGCTTATCCAGGTAACTTCAGGTGTAACTTCCTGGTTAACCCTTATTACGAAAGGTGGATAGGTGTTACCCGAGGTCTGTTGGCATGGTGATTTACGCTGCATCTCCAAACTGCTCCGAACAGGTTTTGTTCCTGGTTAACTCGAGGTTCCCCTGCAGACGTGGACTACACACCACATTTGTACTCAGTGTTGCTGAGGAGGAGTATTAATACACACCACTTGATAAAACCTGTTTGGATCTCATCCTGACTTGTTCCTCTGGGCTGCAGCTGAAATGAAGCATCACGTTCATGGTTTTATGCTGGGCTGAGCAATGAATCTAAATTTCCCACCAATCAACTGTAACATTTTGACCACCTGCTGATCGCACCAGATTTTATTTTGCATAGACCAATAAGGAACTGGGACTGTTACTGAATGTAACATGGGAGTTACAAGTGGCGGTGGCGGCAGAAAACAAACTGGGAGTCGTCACAAAGTAAACAGCGACATGCACAGTACATGTGTAGACTGTTATTATCACGGTACAGAATATTTTAATAAAAACACAAAAACTAAAACTCTGTCAGCAGCATCGTGCTTCTGCTTTGACTTATAAGAGCCAATCAGAGAGCCAAACGCGAGCGGCTGCATCCCTGCTGCCCCCCCTCTCATGGCCTCATCCAGCTCTCTGAGGCTGGCCTGTGGGTAGATTAACTTGTCATCATGTTGTTGCTGTTCTCGTTCGCTCGGCTGTCCCACCGGCGGTGGTTGTGATGCTGGCTGTGTTGACAGGGGAGCAGGTGCAGTCTGGCGTCTTCTTGGGGGAACCGAGTTCAGGTCCGGGTCTGGTTTGACATGCTGAGATGCAGATTCGTTAAGAGGAGCTGTCCCTGCCTCTATCTTTGTGTCCCTGCGATGTGCTTCCTTTAACCAATCCGTATCCGCTGCCCAGTCGGCTCTAGAGAGATTTAGATCTCTTTAGGTATTTAAATTTAGAATTGGTTTGCTCTAAATATCTCTAGTTTTAAATTTAGGAGCTTGTTTTGTCTTTAATAACTCTTTATTTTCTTTATTCTTGATTTATAGAAAAAACTCTTTCCCTGTTCACAAAAGCTTTTGTTCAACATTCACACACTTTCTGTTTTTTCTTTTTCTCATTCACAGTTCAGTCCTACATCTGCAGTATAAACACTCTCTATTTCCCTTAAGTAAACTCTCACTTGTGATCTAGTGAGTCCCGTGATTTCCTGACTAAAGTACTTTCATGTCAGGGATGTGAGATTGGTGATTTTCCTCACTAGCTGTTCTTCTCCTTCCTTGACTGGTCCCAGTCAAGGATCTTTTGTTCCAGAAAACATAGATGCTCAGACTGTGTAAATGATCATGCAATTGTTTGCTCTGGGCCAGACGTTAGTGATTGTCTTAGGAGACAGAACCTCTGGTCCAGCTGATTCTGTTGTAGCACTTCTTTGTTTATTCTCTTTTGTTAAACAAATTTTTCAAAGACAACGGTTCGTTGTAACTCAATTATTTGCTCAACCTCTCACCAGGAGAGGTGACGAGATCTTAAACTATTTGTTGAGTCAGCTAAGTCTCTGACTAAAAGATCAGGAAACTTTGAAGATGATGTACTAACAGACCAGGAAATCTATCGTTTAAAGAAACTGGTACTCAGAGTAAAAGCACAAATAGCTGATAATGTTTAAACAAAAAACATGTGTTTCTCTCTTTTCTTGTTTCCTCTTGTTCTCTCCTTTTTCTCCATGTGTGATTTCAACATAGGCACTTTGAACCTAAATGGAGGGATGATGTTAAAAGAACTGATTTTTACTGCTGATGGAGCTGAAGAAAATAGATGTGATGTTGGGCGGCTGTGGCTCAGGAGGTAGAGCGGCCGTTAATCGGAAGGTCGGCGGTTCAATCCCTGGCTCCCCCTGGTTGCGTGTCGAAGTGTCCTTGGGCAAGATACTGAACCCCGAATTGCCCCTGGCGGCTGTTCCGCCAGTAATGTTAGTTTCTGTTTGAGCATAAGTGCAGCTGCAGTGGAGGAGTGGGAATTGTGTTTTCCATGAGCTTTTTATCTTCTTCCCATAAAGTAGAGGAAATTACTGAGGGTTGTTTATTGAAGCTTGAAGTTCATTTTGAAAATGTTAACTTGGTGTTTGTTAATGTTTATGCACCAACCAGTGGAGCAGACAGGTTAGCGGTGCTAAATGTTCTGTGTGACACCATCCAGAACTGTAATAGTGATGAGTATTTGTTTTTAGGAGGGGATTTTAATTGTACTGAAAATCCAAAGCTTGACAGGAATCATCAAGAACCTCATCTTGCTTCATCACGCAGGTTCAGGCAGCTGACTGAAGCTCATGAGTTGTCTGATGGATGGAGGATGTTTTATACCTGGAGTCACTGTAAAGACAATGTGTTATCTCTGGCTGGGCTGGATCGCCTCTACTCTTTTAAACACCATGTGAACATTTTTAAAAGCTGTCACATTCACCCAGTGGGCTTCTCAGATCACTCTCTTGTTGTTTGCTCTGTTTTTATAAAGAATGTCCGTCTAAAAAGCTCTTATTGGCATTTTAACACGGCCCTGCTTCATGACAAGGCTTTTAGATTAGCCTTTGAATATTTCTGGGTTAACCACAGAATTTGTAAATCCAATTTCACATGTGTTCAACAGTGGTGGGATTTTGGTAAATCTCAGATTAAACAGTTGTGTCAACAGTTCACTTGTAATGTCACTAGAGATGTAACCAGATCTATGAGGGACCTGGAGGCTCAGGTGGTAGAACTGCAGGGTTTGGTAGATTCTACAGGAGATCGAGGGCTTTTAGACTCCCTTAAATCTAAAAAGTTGGCTCTGTCCAGCTTGCTGGGCGCTGCAGCACAGGGAGCTCTGGTCAGATCACGCTTCCTCTCAGTTCTTTTTTGGTCTGGAGAGGAAAAATGGACAGAGAAAAATTGTTCACTCTCTGCGATTTGATGGTGGCTCTGCAATCTCAGACTCTTCTGAGATTAGGAAACTAATCTCAGAAACACTGAACAGTTCCAGCGCTGAACCTCATTTCAGTGTTTCTGAAGTATGCTGTAAGTTGATGAAATTACTGCATATTTTTGAAATTTTAACCCATTAGCTGACCTCTTATGAATTTAATCAATATTGGTATTTTATGTAGCCAGCAGTTCATGTTGATCGGAAGATATTAACTAATTTATTCAGATTCTAAGTGCAGCTAGCTAACATAAGCAACACTACAGTAGCTAAGATAAAGTAAACCACATGTCAGTTTGCCAACATTTACCTAAGTTCGTTAGTGTAACGGAGTTAAAAATGCACTTTAATAATTCTTATTTCCAAATGTGCATCTGTGGATTTTATTTATCATTTAATGATTTTATTGAATATTTGTGAATTTTATCTCATTGAGTTATTTTTATTTATATTTATTTTTGCTATTTTTTCCTGTGGAAAATGTCCTTAGCTGCACACTACCCCTTTTGTACCTCCTGAGCTTCCGTAGTGCTCGTCTCGTGAGGGTAAGTTGTGTGGAAAAGTGCTGCTGTGTTTATGTATTGTTTTCTTTGGAAATTGAACCATTTACGTTAAAACTTTAAACACAAATTGTGCAATGTCAATATGGTTATGTCACGTAGCAGTTTTGTATCAGTGTGACCGTTAAAATAGGTTTTATCAGTGTTTTCGTTTTAACTTTCTGGCGCCAGTTTTACCAGGCAGGTGTCCTGTCACCTATGTAACCTGTCGGAGCTTTCAGCGTCTTGTCACTTATTTTTGTATGTTTAGGAAGCAGAGGTAATGTAAGAGGAGGCCGGGGGGTAATTGATGTGTGCATTGTGTTCTGCAGGTGTGTGTTTTCCTTCTGTTTATTAATGTAACTTTTGTTGTCTCTGTCACCTCCCACACACACTTTTTATTCAGACCACCAGGTGTCGCTGTTAGGCGATGTTGTTTTAAGGAAACTTATGTACTGTTTTTATGTAATTGTTGCATTTAATATTTAGTATTTTCTGAACAGTGTTAATGGCTTTCTATGAACACTATATACACTATGAGCAGAGTAACTCATGTGATGTTGGAGTAATGTGTTTGTAATGTATTTTGAATACATGAAGTGCTCAGTTGCGTCTTGCACCGCTGAGGGAAGCAGAGGTAATGTAAGAGGAGGCCAGGGGGCAATTGATGTGTACATTGTGTTCTGCAGATGTGCGAGCCAATAAATCGTGGAAAAGAAGTGATCTCAAGAGTCATCCTTCACACACCCGACCAAACCCGTTACATTAGCATTCAAAGTTTATCTTTGGTTATTAGAATTATTGTAGAGGTTAGCAGCACTCATTTGCGTCTTTAATAGTAACATTACCCATGATTACAATGAACGGTAACGGCAGCTAAGTTAAATAGATAACATTACTAGCTTGTATCTAATAATGTTGTTTCTGGTTCATTCAGTTATTACACACATTGTTTGTTGGACAGTGCATCAGTGACGGCTGATCAGATCAGCAGCATCGATGTCGATCAGCGCAGTACAAAAAGTTAACGATGTAACTGCAGCAGATAGATAATGACTTCATATGTTTTTCTGTTAAAGAGGCTGATATGTGAAACCATTGGAGACTGACTTTAATGAGCGAGCAGTCCACAAAGGATCCAAAAAGTCCAAATGTCCCTGTCAGAAACAGCTCTCTGTGTCCTCCAGAATAATCAGAGTTGAATCAGCAAACACTGAACATTTTAACCTTCATGAAGGTAGGATTATTGCAGGACCGCATTAGTTTCAGCTCGGTGTACCTAATACACTGGCAGCTGTATCACTTATAGGCCTCATACAAACGTGGCAAGCTTGTATATTTACAGAGTAACTTGTGGAGTACAAATACCTTATCCAGCCAACAATATCCAGGACAAATGTTCTTCCACAAATATATAAATTGTTTACATGAGACATACAATACAAATAATTTGAGCTACCGAGGCCTTTACACATCCTTCCTTTCAGCTACTGGTCTTCACTGTTTTGTACCTGTACAATGTAATGCAGTTTAATACAATAGCTCTGTCATGAATTAAATAAATTTCAACAATTTAATTACATTGTTATTACTAAGTACTAATTACTAATTAAAGGTGGTGTACACCAACAACAACAACACTAACATCACCAATTTTGACCTCAGTGATAAAACACTGCACTGCCACTGCAGACACAAGTCAAGGTTTTCCCTGTAGCTCTTCTGGGGGTGTGGTCACTCAAACCTCTGGGCTAGCCTGCCACCTAAATTATAGCAAGTCAACAGTGATGACCCACAAAACGCATACATTATTTGAGAAGTCTGGACATTTCATTCTTGTAGATCGAAATGTTGCCTTAAAAATACAGAGAATTAACATATAGAATTATTTGCAGCCTAAAAGTGTGCAAACCTTTTTTCCTTTTTACCCTGCAGGGATATATAATGATTTTGCTTTTTACCTGGATGTGTAAACACTTGATCCCTCTTCTGGTATTTATTATTTGGTCATTAAATTCAAAGAAATTTGAAAATTTTATTAAGGTTAATAGGAACTTGTCCAACAACTTGTAGTCCTCTTAAATTACATGAAAAAAGTTTATAGTTACTTAATTTAAAATTCTGTACTGAAGCACAGAACTAAATAACCAAAATCATGTCCAAATACGAATGGACCTAACTGTAGGTGTGTACTCTCACTCCTGTAATCTCAACCTCATGGAAATGTTTGGGGAAACATTGGCTTTCCATGTGTATTATAGTTATTATTTATATTATGATATTAAAATCTATGTCTTTCAATGTATTAACCTTAACACTGTTTCATCTTTCTTTACCTCTCCCCGTTTTCTCCAGCAGAAACAGGCTTGAGTCTTCTCAAGACCCGCTCTTATCTGGGGCCTATGACGTGTTCGGCTTCTGACAGTGGAATTTACCAAAAACAACCAAGTGTCCAGATCTGCTTTTCTTCCTATTGTTGCAGTGGAAGAATGCTTGGACTATTTTGAACACTTATGCACATATGCCTTTCCTTGCCTGCTTTCTGCCATCATTCTCACCCTGTAGGAGGTTTAATGAGTTTCTTTAAAGACTGCCCATTCAAGGAAACCTTACTTACCTCTCCCTCTATATAATAAACTGTTTTGTTGAATGCAGTTGGTTGCTTTATATATTTTGCACCATGGACCAAACTTCTTTCTTTTTTTTTCTTTTGTTTTTCTTTTTTTTTTAAACCTGTCCTGCCCAGCAGCCTGGTATAGAGTATAATGACCTGGATACCATATTGTGCCAGACAGATTTTACTTTAACAAGAGAGTATTAAAATACTCCTTTGTCTGTTTTATTATTTATTTAATTATGTATTGATTGTCAGCGGGCCGGACAGGGGGGCAGACACGGGGATGGGGGGGCAGACACGGGGATGGGGGGGCAGACACGGGGATGGGGGGGCACAAACAGACAACACCTGTAAGAGAAGGGGGATGGAAGGTGGGGACAACAGGGAAAAGCTGTGGGAAACACCAATTGCAGAAAGCAACAAAACCTGCAATAGAACAGAGAGGGGGGCTTGGGGAGGAGAAAAACAGCAACAACAAACAATAAAAATAATAATAATAGTAAAAGACAACCAGCCGAACAGCAGCAATAAACAGCTGACATAGTAAGACAACTAAGAGAAAAATGAAAACAAGAAACAGTCACACACACTAAACAAGCAACACAACACAGCCACGAGAGCTGGAATAATAATTAATTTAAATAAGTAACTGAAAGAAAAGCATCAGGAATAATTCTACCAGGGACAAACTAAATTTGTTTGTGTCTATGTGTGAGACTGTGTGTGTCTGTGTGTGTGTACGTGTGTGTGTGTACATGTGTGTGTGTGCGCAGAAGCCTGTTAAAGAATGTAGTTGTTAGTGTGAGGGGGACAAAGCCCAGACCCAAAGGTCCGCCCACACCCAGGAGGCAATGTCACTCAGGCCAGGTCAGGCCAGAAGACCCCCGCGCCCTTCCCTCCCTAGCTGCGAAGCATCCCCGCACAACCACCAAGCATCCAGTCCGGGCACTAAAATCCAGAGGAGACACCCCCCAACCAGCTCAAAAAGGACCAGCCCGCACCCCCAACCCACCCCGTCAACCCCTTCTTCCCGGTCCCCCACCCCTCCAACAACCAGTCGCCAGACCCCTCACAGAACTAACCAACACTACCCCGCTACCGATCTAAACAGCGCCACACAACAGCCAAGTAATGCGCTGCACAGGAGAGATGCCAGCCAGCGCAAACCGTCCCCATCCCCCTCACAGCCAGGGAGACCACAGACCCCACCCACAGTTACACCGTGACCCACACCGCACATTCACCACCGGACCGAAACCCACCAAAAGTATCCCCCCCCTCCCCCAACCTGGACCCACACAGAGAGGCAGCCAAGCACCGAGCGCCACCACATCTGCACAGCGCGCGAGTCAAAATCACCACCCGCGCACCGATACCAACAACCGCGCGACACCCGAGCAGAATGGCTACCCACCCCGCAGCAGCAGCACGCCAAATACAGGGCAAACACCAGTCCCCCCGTCAAGCCCGCGCCCTAGGCAGCCCGAGCGCCGCACCACCGCCCCCCGCCAACACCACGCCATCAACCAACATTCAAAAAAAACAAAAACGAGTCCCCCACGCCCGCACCGCGATGCAGACAGTCTTCAACTGTCCAATTTTGGTGAGCTCTTGCAAATTGTAGCCTCTTTTTCCTATTTGTAGTGGAGATGAGTGGCACCCGGTGGGGTCTTCTGCTGTTGTAGCCCATCCGCCTCAAGGTTGTGCGTGTTGTGGCTTCACAAATGCTTTGCTGCATACCTCGGTTGTAACGAGTGGTTATTTCAGTCAAAGTTGCTCTTCTATCAGCTTGAATCGGTCGGCCCATTCTCCTCTGACCTCTAGCATCAACGAGGCATTTTCGCCCACAGGACTGCCGCATACTGGATGTTTTTCCCTTTTCACACCGTTCTTTGTAAACCATAGAAATGGTTGTTCGTGAAAATCCCAGTAACTGAGCAGATTGTGAAATACTCAGACCGGCCCGTCTGGCACCAACAACCATGCCGCGCTCAAAATGGCTTAAATCACCTTTCTTTCCCATTCTGACATTCAGTTTGGAGTTCAGGAGATTGTCTTGACCAGGACCCTAAATGCATCGAAGCAACTGCCATGTGATTGGTTGATTAGATAATTGCATTAATGAGAAATTGAACAGGTGTTCCTAATAATCCTTTAGGTGAGTGTATATAAACAGTGAATACACATCAGTTCGTACACATCTATCAGAGTGAATATCAACATAGAATTCAGATAACTTTCAGAAACCAAAATAATAGCAATAACTTCACTTGTGGCGTATGGGAACGGATCAGAGTTCAGAAGTCCATCCACGGACCATTAAAGTGTAAAAGTGCTTCCTCGCTTTGTCAAACTCCTTGTGTGGGGTAAGTGAATGTAATTGTCACACTGATTTAAGTATCTCTCCCTCTCTTGGTCTTGGCTCGCCACCTCAGGACCAGCAGCACTCCTCTCCAACAGAAGCCTTGTATCCACAAAGCCAGAAAAATAATTGCTATATAGTTCAACTATATATTTTTATTTTCTCCTCAAAGTCCATACAGCTAATGTTTTTTTTTCATATTTAACAAATTATATAAACCTTGCATATAACAACCAAAATAATTGGCCTAATGCTAACGGGTAGCACGGCCAATTATCGCTAATGCTAACGGTTAGTGCAGCTAATTATGGAAAATGCTAATGCTAACTGTTAGCTCGGTTAGCGCTAACGGTTGTGTGGTGGGCATTGCGTGTTTAAATAAACAGCTCAGGCAAACACTGGTCTTTCTGTGAATTTTATTCAAGTCTTCTGCAGAAGGACTCAAAGCAAAACACATACGCCGTGTACATGTGTGCTCGAATGAGTGAGGAGAGCTCTGTGTGTTATTTATCCAGCTTTAGGGTCAATCATATCATCCCACAGAGACACGTTGTCCCTGAAGTCTGGATAACACAGAGAACAGAGATATTTTGACTGTTACATTTACACAGATTCAGTGCCACATCACAGATGACTCTCCCTGAGTCCAGGGTTACATGCAATATGTTTGGAATTCCCATTACAGTTGCTAACACTAGTATCTAGTGAAATGGAAATATGTCCTTTAGTGAGTCTTCTGAAATAAAGAGTCCAATCCAGATGTCTTTTAAGGGTTTTATTCTTTGCAAAGGGTCAGACAGACATACAGAGTGCAAACGGTCTGCAGAGTGTGAGACAAAGAGTCAGTGAAGAAGCAGGTGACTTTATATTACTCCAGTATGTTAGGGAGGAAAGGAGTAGGGATCAACTGTCCTCCGATGAAGACCTATCAAGGACAGTCAGATAAGAAAACTCTCTAACGAGCATCTTTCCCATGAGAAACTTCACCTAGCTGTAACATAATAAAATAATCAAACCCCACACATTGGTCTATTCTGATGAAGCAGGCAGGGTGAAACAGTAAACACAGTAACATATCAAATTTCCATCACAATAGTCACAGCTTTACATTATTTCACCATGTCTCACAGTCAACTCACCAAGACGTTTCTTTGCCAACTAGCAGCAGGATTGTAACCACTACAGGCCTTTCTCAGAACTTGCTAAATCCACATTTATTGTGCTCTCTGCTCCAACATGTGCGTTCGTCTGCAGCTCCGTGGGCAAAAGGAAGCTACGTCACACTCAACACGACATCTGCTGCATAGGGGAGGAGTTTAACTATGAGACTATTTTAAACCCTTTGTTTACATGAATTATGTCAGTAAGGTTAATTATGAAATATTAACTTATCTATTTAATGTCACATCCTTCTACCACATATTTAAATCCCTCTTTTATTCAGTCATTTATTTTATAGAGCTCTGTAACCGGGGGTTACATAATGCTTAGCCAGATATTTCCCCCGTTCCCTTTTGCACTTTGAATAACAGTCATAAAAAAGTGTGCTTTGGCCTTCCACATTGTTTGTATTATTTTATTTCTTGCTGATGTAAATTGTTGTCTATCTAAGGTCAGGCCAGTTTTAAGTGACTTTTTAAGTAATTGATCTCTTATCTTCATTAGCGTCCTGCATTAATTATGAAGCCATTGTAGGTCATTATCATTAGCCTGTTGAGATTGTTAAAACACAAGTTGAATGCATTCCTTTAATTTAAGGTCAGAGGTCTATATCAGAAGTCTTATTGTTCACATAAACACATTTTAATGAGCACTTTTTCACATTAACTGATGCTCATGGATTGCTTAACCAAGAGCACAGTTTATGAATCTGTGCTCTTGGTTTATTAATCCATGTCCTTGTACTATTGATTTGTACAGATTTCCACGTCAATATTTTTTATGCTTCTACTTAAAACTAAAGAAACTCCTTCAGTTATAACTCAGTCTACAAAACTGACTGCAATGATTGGTCAATTAATCAATTAGAGTTTAATTATTAAATTAATAGACAACTATTTTATTAATAGATTCATTGTTTTTAGTAATTTTTCTAAAGGAACAAAATTCCTAATTCTCTGATTTCAGGTTCTCAAATGTGAATATTTAATATCAATGACAGTGAACTGAATATACTGTATTTGGATTGTGGACAAAAGAAGACACTTTAGGACATTATCTTGGGCTTTGGGAAACACTGATCAACATTTTTCATCATCTTCTGACATTTTATGGACCAAGTAACTTAAAATGATAGATTAATTGAGCCCGTTCTCATCTCAGGGCGTCATATACCGACGATTTGAGAGAGTGACAAAGCGTAGGTATTTGACACTAAAGGTATCCTCTGAGGCGTTCAGTATAAAACGTTCGTGATAAAGGTGTTGACAGCCCCCCGAAGCCCCTACCCTTACCACAACCATCAGAAATGTTAGTACCTAAACCTAAGTCACTGAATGTACGCATGTCAGCTAACTCTACAGCTGCGCACATCAGCCTCACGGCCGATGTGCTAACAGGTAGGGTTAGCCTCCCTTGTGTTGCTGCAACGTAGGAAATGGGGGCGTTTCATACAAACGCTGAAGGGTACCTTTAGCGTAAAATCCTTACGCTTTGTCACGCTGTCTGTAAGCGTCAATTATGTCGATAATGACATGACAACCCCAATAATATTCATTTTTGTTCTGTATGTCCTATAAGGTGAAGATTTCTTTCGGCATCTTTGCAGGACGAAAAGATGGCGACACAGAAAGAGGTCCTCTTGGGAATTTTGGAAGATTTGGGAGCCGAGGACTTCAAAGTTCAAGTGGTACCTGCAGCAGAAGGAGGTCCTGGAAGGCTTCCCAGCAATCCAAAAGAGTCGACTGGAGAATGCAGACAGGGTGGACACATTAGATCAGATGGTCCAGAACTATTGTATAAACACTACTAAAGTGATCAGAATAGTTTTGGTAAAGATAAATAAGAATGATCTAATGGAGAATATACCAAACACCATCTCAGAACCCACAGGTAAATCATTTAAATGGAATTATTAACAAGATCTTTTTATTTTATGCAATCATGCATCACATTTTTAGACACATGACAATGATAACAGATTGAAATTAGCCTCCTAATATCAAGAGAACTGCCACCTTAACATGGTGGAGGGGTTGAGGTACAATGACCATGGAAGCTGATCTCAGGGTCAATTCTGGTAGGGTCACCCAAGGCAATGGCAAGTGCCTGGTGGCAGGGTCCATTTGCACTGTCTGGGTCAGGTCCCAAGCACAGGAGAGTAGCAATTTGTAGCACCGAATCTGAAATTAAACTCCAGAATAGGGAATTGACTCTCCTTTAGGCACCAGGCAGGTGTGGGGATTCTCACGAGCCACTGCCTAAGCACTGGTGAGCCGGAATATTCCTCCTGGAATGGTACAGAGATTCAGTGAGAGGATTTGATTGATGTGTTTTGTTATTAGACTTCTGTGATAGTCATGGACTGTCTATAATGGACACCATATTCAAGCATAAGGAGGTTCACAAGTTACAGTACACTGTACAGCAAAGCTCCATTATTGAGGTTGTGATTGTTTGATCAAATATGCAGTCGCGTGTCTGGGACAGTTGGGTAATGAGAAGAGCAGAACTGTCCGCTCATCACCACCAGCTGAGACGTTGGAGACATGGAATTCAAGTGGTCGGTATTTAAAATGTCAATATTTAAAGTCTGTAAAGAAGAACTTTGGGGTTGGTTGGCCCAGGGAACAGATGAATCAGTAGATGGGTATTGGAATGCCAGAAGGGCGGTAGCTTCTGTGGTCACAAAAGAAAAAAACTGGTATGGGAGGACTTGAGGACATGGAGAACAACTTTTACACCTTTAAGACGGTCTGGCAAATCATCAGGAAACTCAGGAGGGGAGGTTAATTGCTGACCCAGTCTGAGGATATTGTCGGACAGTTTGGGGAACTGCTGAATCAGACCGACACATACATAAATGTAATCAGCAAGGCCCACAGTGACAAGGTGCCAGGGGTTGATATGTTGTGTCCTGATACGTGGAAATATCGGGGGGAGAAAAAAAGTACCAGAGACTGTGCTCAAATTATCAGAGTAGTTCCAAGGCTCCCTGGCAAATCTTATGCCACTGTGATGAAATGGAGACTGTGGCAGAACCTCAGATTCAGTAGGACCAATGTAGATTCAGAGAAGGTGGCCATCAGGTTTACATCTCTGCTGTTAGCAAATTATGTGGTTTTAAAGGCTTTACCTGTGAGAAGCAGAAAGGGTAAGAGTCAGCACCACCAAGACTGAGACCACTCGTCTGTAAAACAGTGAATTGTTCATTTTGGTTTGGGAGGGAATTGTTGTCAAGGAGACCGAGGATCTTGGGGTCATTCGCAAGTGAGGGAATGGTGGATCATGAGAATCAGTGGCAATGTGGATGCCATACTAAAGAGAGAACTAAAACAGAGAACTACACCTGAAGGTGATGCTCTGGGTTACCAGAAGATCTGTGTTCTCACCTATTGTCGTGGGTTTGGCTGGTCTCACCCTTAAAGATAAGGTGAGCAGCTCAGATATTTATAAGGACAAAGGCAAAGAGGCTCGTTGACCTAACTACGACACCGTATCGTATTCAGGGCACAACTTGGAGAAGCCCATTGGGCAGGCCCAGAACCCCCTGAATACCTGCGTACACCTTGCAGTCCCCCAGAAAGAGCTGTAGAAAGTGGTTCAGGAGAATTACATACATAATTTCATATAATGTGGAAAATGGATGGATGAAATATTAAGAAGCAAATAATATCAAAAACATATTTTCTGTCCGAAATGAGGAAATGTTTCATGGCTCAAATACACTTTAGCATCTTCTAAATTCTGTCATCTCTTTTTCATTATTTCAGAGATATTTACTGAGTACCAGTGTAAAATGAAATCAAACCTGAAGAAGAAGTTCCAGTGTGTGTTTGAGGGGATTGCTAAAGCAGGAAACCCAACCCTTCTGAACCAGATCTACACAGAGCTCTACATCACAGAGGGAGGGACTGCAGAGGTCAATGATGAACATGAGGTCAGACAGATTGAAACAGCATCCAGGAAACCAGACAGACCAGAAACCACCATCAGACAAGAAGACATCTTTAAAGCCTCACCTGGAAGAGATGAACCAATGAGAACAGTGATGACAAAGGGAGTGGCTGGCATTGGGAAAACAGTCTTAACACAGAAGTTCACTCTGGACTGGGCTGAAGACAAAGCCAACCAGGACATACAGTTCACATTTCCATTCACTTTCAGAGAGCTGAATGTGCTGAAAGAGAAAAAGTACAGCTTGGTGGAACTTGTTCATCACTTCTTTCCTGAAACCAAAGAAGCAGGAATCTGCAGCTTTGAAGAGTTCCAGGTTGTGTTCATCTTTGACGGTCTGGATGAGTGTCGACTTCCTCTGGACTTCCACAACAATGAGGTCCTGACTGATGTCACAGAGTCCACCTCAGTGGATGTGCTGCTGACAAACCTCATCAGGGGGAACCTGCTTCCCTCTGCTCGCCTCTGGATAACCACACGACCTGCAGCAGCCAATCAGATCCCTCCTGAGTGTGTTGACATGGTGACAGAGGTCAGAGGGTTCACTGACCCACAGAAGGAGGAGTACTTCAGGAAGAGGTTCAGAGATGAGGAGCAGGCCAGCAGGATCATCTCCCACATCAAGACATCACGAAGCCTCCACATCATGTGCCACATCCCAGTCTTCTGCTGGATCACTGCTACAGTTCTGGAGGAGGTGCTGAAGACCAGAGAGGGAGGAGAGCTGCCCAAGACCCTGACTGAGATGTACATCCACTTCCTGGTGGTTCAGTCCAAACTGAAGAACATCAAGTATGATGGAGGAGCTGAGACAGATCCACACTGGAGTCCAGAGAGCAGGAAGATGGTTGAGTCTCTGGGAAAACTGGCTTTTGAGCAGCTGCAGAAAGGCAACCTGATCTTCTATGAATCCGACCTGACAGAGTGTGGCATCGATATCAGAGCAGCCTCAGTGTACTCAGGAGTGTTCACACAGATCTTTAAAGAGGAGAGAGGGCTGTACCAGGACAAGGTCTTCTGCTTCGTCCATCTGAGCGTTCAGGAGTTTCTGGCTGCTCTTCATGTCCATCTGACCTTCATCAACTCTGGTGTCAATCTGCTGGCAGAAGAACAAACAACCTCCCAGAAGTCTGAAACAAGAAAGGATGAGTCTGCAGTGACACATCTCTACCAGAGGGCTGTGGACAAGGCCTTACAGAGTCCCAATGGACACCTGGACTTGTTCCTCCGCTTCCTCCTGGGTCTTTCACTGCAGACCAATCAGAATCTCATACGAGGTCTGCTGACACAGACAGGAAGTAGCTCACAGACCAATCAGAAACAGTCGAGTACATTAAGAAGAAGATCAGTAAGAGTCTGTCTCCAGAGAGAAGCATCAATCTGTTCCACTGTCTGAATGAACTGAATGATCGTTCTCTAGTGGAGCAGATCCAACAGTCCCTGAGTTCAGGAAGTCTCTCCACAGATAAACTCTCTCCTGCTCAGTGGTCAGCTCTGGGCTTCATCTTACTGTCATCAGAAAAAGATCTGGACGTGTTTGACCTGAAGAAATACTCTGCTTCAGAGGAGGCTCTTCTGAGGCTGCTGCCAGTGGTCAAAGCCTCCAACAAAGTTCTGTATGTATGTGTCATTTCAAAAATGCTTAATTTTATATTTGACAAATAAATAATTTAGTTTGTGTCCATTGCTAATCCTTTTTCAGGTTGAGTGGCTGTAACCTCTCAGAAACATGCTGTAAAGTGCTGGCCTCAGTTCTCAGCTCCCAGTCCTCTAGTCTGAGAGAGCTGGACCTGAGTAACAACAACCTGCAGGATTCAGGAGTGAAGCTGCTATCTGCTGGACTCGAGAGTCCACTCTGTACACTGGAAACTCTCAGGTCAGTATTAAGCTGTTTCTTTTAAATCCTCCCCATCTGGTTTTAGGTTCATGTTAGTGAAAATGGTCTGTAGGATTTTCCTGCTCACATGATTTTCTAAAACACAAAGTTTATGATTCCAGTCTGACAGGCTTTCTGATCACAGAGGAAGGCTGTGCTTCTCTGGCCTCAGCTCTGAGCTCCAACCCCTCCCATCTGAGAGAGCTGGACCTGAGTAACAACAACCTGCAGGATTCAGGAGTGAAGCTGCTGTCTGCTGGACTCGAGAGTCCACACTGTAAACTGGAAACTCTCAGGTCAGTATTAAGCTGTTCCTTTTAAATCCCCCTCTTCTGGTTTTAGGTTCATGTTAGTGAAAATGTTCTGTAGGATATTCTTGCTGACGTGATTTTCTAAAACACAAAGTTTATGATGTTTTCCTGATTCCAGGCTGTCAGGCTGTCTGATCACAGAGAAATCCTGTGCTTCTCTGGCCTCAGCTCTGAGCTCCAACCCTTCCTATCTGAGAGAGCTGGACCTGAGCTACAATCATCTAGGAGATTCAGGGGTGACGCTGCTGTCTGCTGGACTGGAGGATCTACACTGGAGATTGGACACTCTCAGGTTTGGACAGACAAAAAGAGCTCACACTCTGCAGGTGTCTCTATTTTCTGTTATTTAATGTCAATCTACTGGAGTCCATCAACATGAAGGACTTCTTATGTCTGTTCAGAGCAGTGAGTAGTTGGGAAACAGATGGATCTCCAGAAGTCTTCGACTGGAAACAGCCATTCATTAGAAACATCAGAAACTTGGATGTAAAATCATGTGAGCCCTGCTAACAGCATGGCTCTATGGATAGAAGCAGGGGTGGACTGGTAATGACGGACCTTTGGGGCTGGTGTATCAGAAATGACTTATTTATATAACTGTTAAATGGACTGCGGCCCATTGGGTAATTTTCTCTACTGACACTGGGCTGGCCTAATCACATCTCTTACTAGCCTTCCTCCCCCCGCCCCGGGCCTTAAAGTTCTCCGGCACAGCGACGGAATTACGGCATGGGCCGTTTTTATGTTTGACAATATATAATAATGTCCATGGAAAATATTCTATTTTTTTTAACTGTCGCATGATATGTGTGTGTGAAGCACCAGTACTCAGCACAATCTCTGTCGGTGTATGCACAAAAGAAAGGGGACTGGCACTTCCTGACTACGTGGACACTCATTGGCTATTCTAGGCCGTGGACAGGGCATCTAATTTTCTATTGGGTCAATTAAGGTGTCACTCACAAGGTCAAGTTGTACCGGCTTTTTTTGTTTACATGCTGACTGCAGTTAAACATTAGTCGGTGTCTATTTATTGATATGAAAAAGCATTTTGGACTAAATATTTAATTGAATTGGATTGTCTGGACCTTTGCCAACATAAAAAGGCCGGGTTTATCAGAATGTAAACCATCAATAGGCTACAGCGCCTCTGGTAAGTGGCGTCAATTTTGATTATCGGCAGTGCTTGAAGTGGGTCACCAGTATCACTACTTCTACTTTTTACTCTTTGCCATTATGGGACTCTTCTTGAGTACCGGCACCTGCCCTCTCCTTATCAGGTTCTCTGGGCACTATGTGACGCTCACCTGTTCCCAGTTCTCACTTCTCTCCTAATCTCTCGGTAGAAACTTTAGACTGTATATAAAATGGACGTAGTATCTGTGACGTCACCCATTGGTTTCTGAAGGGCAGTTTTGAAGCCCAAATTGGGCTTCAAAATTGACGTGTTGCTGAAACCACTCCCGCCTAGCTCGACATGAACGAGTTAGCTCACTCATAGGAGCTAATGCTATACGCTACTCTGCGTCTGCAGAGGTTGCTTCTACACCCCTGGTGCTGTGTGGTGAAGTTTGGAACCTTTGGCCGTGTTGTTACCTGTTTATGGTCGTTACCACTTTACAGTCACAAGACACCTGAACATATAAAAATAACTCACATATCTGTTATTGACATTATACGTTTTAAATGCGTTTTAATATCTAAACGTTATTTTGCAACACTAGATTTTGTTGAGACAAATGTTAACAGTTAACTATGAATCATTTATTAATTAAGTTAACGTTTACTTACATCTCAAATGAATTAACCTTTTTACAAAACGTTAGTCACAAGTTGTTTATTTTATTTGTGATTATTCACATTAAAAAGATAAACAGACTTAAATGAACAGACTTTCCTAATGAACTAATGTTACGCTGCGCACCGCATGGCTGACAGGATGGCAGCACTTCTCCACCATCAGCCACTATGGTGCACAGTACAGTTTTGACCGAACAGGTTGAGACCGCGACCCGCAAACATTTGGTGTACTGGGACTTTTCCAAGCTGTCGGTCCTCTCCTCTGCCCTCTCCACATCAGGTTCTCTGGGCGCTATGTGACGCTCACCTCCTCCCATTCTCGCCTGCCTGCTAATCTCTGTAGGCGAGACAGACGAGGCAGAAGAGAAGCTCAGGGGCCTAGCAGTGTTCAGAAAGTAGCTCGGCAGTGTCACTTTTCATGAACTGACCAATCACAGCCTGGATGGGGCGGGACACATACATTAAAAATATTGACAGATAGGTGTCATTTACACTGGGGACGCTGGGGACAGGTCAGAATCAGAATGTCTCCATCACTTTTTGAAAGCTTTTGGTAAAAATGTTATGAAAAACAGCAACAAGGAATGTTAAATTACAAATTAAATTTGATCGTCGTTCTACAGTTTAGGAGCTGCTACAGCAAAAGCTCGGTCCCCTTTGAGCTTGCGCTTTGTTTTGGGCACACTTAGGAGCAGCTGATCAGCTGAACTGAGAGAACGGGTGGATCTATAGGGGGGTAGCAGCTCAGAGATGTAGGGTGGTGCAAGACCATTAAGACATTTAAAAGCAAAATGAATTCTATAATGTACAGGCAGCCAGTGGAGTGACCCTCACCTGCAGTGTAAATGTCAGGTTCATACACCTATAATATCAGACAAGGAAGAAAGACAAGAGAGTTAATGGCTTTTTACTCGCGAGGAGAACGGACAGAGATGCACTCAGTTACAAACTCCAACTGCTCTGAGGTATCTCTTCCGTTTCCTCTCTTTTTATTATATTCAGTTCCCTAGTTACATGCATGTTGCTGCTCTAAGGGGAAAGGGGGTGCAGCAGCAACATGAAACGTGATCAACGTGACATACATTATTGTACAGTATTGTTCCAGGAACTATGTAGGTCTAGTTCAGTCGCTCCTCAGTGCTAGGGCTCGGTTCCTGTTATTCAGTTGTCTGTTCCGACAGTCATTTCCTTCAGTCACGCCATCCGCTGTAGACTTCCTGTCAGTACATTTCTGCAGACTTACACACTTGCATTAGTACACGTCTTGATAGATATATATATATATCTCTTGTTTCAGATTGCATGAGCGAGAGTAAATATAAGATAACTTATATACATACTGGTTCCAACAGTATATAAATAATTTATATTTCTAAACATTATGTTTTGTCTATTTTACACCAAGTATGTTAACTTTAGATTGCGTAAATCTAATCTTTGTTAGCACTTTCCAAGTTGAAAACTCTCCATATTGAATCATATATCATTTGAAAGTTTGTTTTCTACAGCACAACCAGCGGCGTAAGGTAGTAACAACGGGCTCCAGTGCAGGCTGTTATGATGGGCCCTTGGGCTACACCGTTACAAAGCACACCCTGCATTTGTGTCTAGAAGGGAACCCTATATTGGCAAATTTATGTGCCTTATTTCCTTGTTTTGCCACGGTTTAACAGCTGATAAGATTAGATTCAGTAAATACCTCATTTAAAGCTCCTTATCCTATTTATTATTTATTTCATACACGAGTATGAAATTGAACAGTTGTCTTGGTGTGTGTCTCTCTCCAACACACACACGCAGCAGTGTTGCGTGCGCCTGGATGCAGCAGTCTAAATGTAAATGCTCCGTATTTGTATGGCGCCTTTTCAACCACTCAAAGCGCTTTTACACTGCATCTGCATTCACCAGTCATACTAACAACTAACATTCATACATTCGACCTTCCGATTAACGGCCAACCCGCTCTACCCCCTTAGCCACAGCCGCCTCAAAGCCGTCCCTAAAGTAAAGCACCGTTATGTGATGGATTTTAGAGTTGGACTGTGTCGCCTAGACTTTTGTATTTGCAAAGTACAGAAGTCAAATAGAGAGTGTTTAGGAGCATAGCCAGTGCTGTCATTATCAAAATCCTGAAACAGGATTGGACAGTGTCCTCAGTAACCCAAAACAATGTAATTTGGGAGCTTTGAGACCTTCTCCTCCTGTTCTTTTCTCTCCTGTCTCTCCTTAAACTACTTTTATGTGTAAATAGCGACTTCCAGCTTGCACGGGTTCTTTGTTAGTCTACTGGTCAGATTTTGCGTTCTGTAGTCAAGTAGTTAAGATTGGGTAGTCATTTACATATTACCCAGCAATCATCACTGCATATGTAGCAGTTATGTGACATGAATAACAACGACTAAATTAATTCTGTTAATCTGTGTACCCTATACCTTATACCCTCAGTATTGTACACACAAAAGTCAGTGGTGTCTGACACCACAGCAAAGGGGCATGTGCACATATGAGGGTATATATAGCTGATCACAATTCACAATACAGTTTAAGATGGGTGGTGATGCCGCATAGATAAGATGCTTGCCTTTGGTGTGGGAGACCTGGGTTTGATTCCCTCTGTGAGACATCCACCATTGTGTCCCTGAGCAAGACACTTAACCCCTAGTTTCTCCAGAGGCGTGAGACCACTGACATGTAGAGCAATTGTAAGTCACTTTGGAGAAAAGCATCAGGTAAATGAAACGGGTGTTTTCTATTCATTGATGGACTTGATGAAGCATTTTACCATGTCATCGATAAAAACCATGTCATTGATAAAAACCATGTCATCGATAAAAACCATGTCATTGATAAAAACCATGTCATTGATAAAAACCATGTCATTGATAAAAACCATGTCATCGATAAAAACCATGTCATTGATAAAAACCATGTCATCGATAAAAACCATGTCATCGATAAAAACCATGTCATTGATAAAAACCATGTCGTTGATAAAAACCATGTCGTTGATAAAAACCATGTCGTTGATAAAAACCATGTCGTTGATAAAAACCATGTCGTTGATAAAAACCATGTCATTGATAAAAACCATGTCATTGATAAAAACCATGTCGTCGATAAAAACCATGTCATCGATAAAAACCATGTCATCGATAAAAACCATGTCATCGATAAAAACCATGTCATCGATAAAAACCATGTCATCGATAAAAACCATGTCATTGATAAAAACCATGTCATTGATAAAAACCATGTCATTGATAAAAACCATGTCATTGATAAAAACCATGTCGTTGATAAAAACCATGTCGTTGATAAAAACCATGTCGTTGATAAAAACCATGTCATTGATAAAAACCATGTCATTGATAAAAACCATGTCGTCGATAAAAACCATGTCATCGATAAAAACCATGTCATCGATAAAAACCATGTCATCGATAAAAACCATGTCATCGATAAAAACCATGTCATCGATAAAAACCATGTCATTGATAAAAACCATGTCATTGATAAAAACCATGTCATTGATAAAAACCATGTCATCGATAAAAACCATGTCATT